AGAGACACAGAGACACAGAGACAGACGGACCGACGGACAGACAGACAGCCAGACAGCCAGACAGTCCAAGGGAGACAAAGCATGCCACCTGCTCCAGTGCGCTTGCATACTTCCAAGGCAAGCGGCCAACCCAATGTTCCCCAGAAGAGCCAAGAAGGTGCAAAGAAGCACGGAATAGGATGCTTGATTCATTGCAGGTGAATGGGAGTGTGCCCATCGGTTTCACCATCACGAACCGTCCACCAGTTCCGGGAGAGAGGTGCCTCTGAGCTTTAGATGGCTTGTGGGCTCATAGCTAATAAAGGGCCTTAGTAATTAGAATAGGGGACAATCAGGACCCCCCAAAACCCGATTCCATTTTGTTAACGCCCTTATATTACCTTGACCTACCAAAACCTAGTTCTTGGCCCTTAACCCTAAACCCTAAACCCCAAACCCTATTACAGGTTTGTGGCTAGCAGTCCGACCCTCGTAGCTTGCAAGAGGTGGCAAGAAGGCTTGCTTTCAGGTTTCGACGTGGGGTTTAGGGTTTAGGGTGTAGGGTTGTAAAGTCAGCATTTTGGGAGTCCGTAGCTTCTGTGCTGATATGCAGATGTGCTTCCGGCAGGGGCCTGTAGGACACGGGTTTCTACCATTGTAGCGCCTGTTATACGCAACTCACATCCAAACTGTGAAGTTACGCGAACCGAGCAATCCTTCGCCGAAACAACGCAGGGGTTTGTGACATTCTATGGACTCAATATGTCACTTCTGGTGCAGAGGTGCAGCTTTTTACGCAGGAGTGCAGCTTGCAGAGGGCCGGACCGTTTGATTCATGTTCCTCCTGTCCTCTCCATCGCATCCGAGAGGAAGCCTGACAGCGGTTCTCGTCTTCTCGGGGCTATTCTACTGTCGAGGGTTTAGGGGTTTAGGTCTACAGTGGTGATCATTGCTGCTGCGATCACCCATATACCGAGGGGTGTCTTCTGTTATGCCAAGGTGAGCATCCTTCTTTCATCTTTCCAAGCTGGACGAGACAGCCCAGTTTTTCCGTCCTAGTGTTGCCTCGACTGAAGAAGATGCCCAGTGCTACCCGAAGTGAAGCAGAAGATGGCTTGGAATTCTCAGCGCGAGACAATGCTTTTCATGATTTTGAGGTTTAGGGTGTAACATTCGTCCCCAACTCATCCTTTAGCCGCTGCCCGGCACCTGAACTAGACCGACTAGACGCATTCGATGCTGCCCTGAGGTCGATGACCAGAGCAGCTTCTTTCCCAAACTGAACGGTTTAGGGTTTAGGCAGGCATCCTCAGAGCTTCGGTAGTTCTCAATTCAGGTTTAGGGTTTAGGGTTTAGGGGTTTAGGGAACCCTTAACCCCAAGGCCCAAAATGGTGAAGCATCGAGCAGGCTTGAGACGTTAGAGCCTCATTCCGTGGGTATGTCAGACCCAGACATGGCGACCGCAAAGCATGTCTTGTCAAAAGGTTCCACGATAAACCCCTAAACCCCTAAACATAATATCGGGGCTTCAATATTTTGGGGAGTTCCTTGCTCTAACCACACTATAAGGTGGCCCCAAAACCCTATTCTAATGATTAAGGCCCTTATCCTACACCTTAAACCCTAAACCCACAATAAACCCCTAAACATACACCGTGATCCCCAAGCCGAAACCTCGGTGGGAGGTGCAGCTACTTCGACCCCGTCTTAGACGCTTGGTCGGATGCCGGAATGGAGTACTTTGACCGCAAACGCAAGCTCTGCTAGTGACGCCAAGGCTTTAGGAGTGCAATGCATTTGGACTTGATTCCTTCCCCACTTTGATAAGGTTGCGTCTTGGGAGAGAGATTTGAGATTTGTCCCGCTTGCGACTGGTCGTGCACGCTTTGTTACTTTCGGTTTCGGTCAGTCGTTTCTGGGCCTGGATGTGTTTGGGTTTCGATGTTGAGTTTTGTCCTCCATTGTGGAAGTTTCTAACCACTGCTGAGACGATCAAACTACGGCGATGGCGACCATGCTTTATCAGTTTGGCGGATATTGACAGAATGACCAGACATGGCCAGCAAGAACCATCAATGTACTCGCAATGGCTTTCGCCATGGCATTGCAGTACCGCAATGGCTTTCGCCATGGCATTGCAGTCATGCTGCGCACCATCACCCTGACCATCTTTGCCACAGTAGCATCGTCATCATCGTAGTTTTCGTCTTCGCCAGCCGCAACACAGTTTCTGGTCGTCCAAAATCTAAGGTAATAGTGTTTACACAGTTGCAAATTGTCCTGCTTGCTGCCGTTGCTGATACTGCTGACTTTGCTGCTGGTATTGACTTCGATTGTGGTTGCTTCCACTGCCACTGCTGCTGCTGCTGCTACTGCTGGTACAGTTGCTGTTGTTATTGATATCGCTGTCGGCGTTGCTCTTCGAGTACGACGTGATCACACCATAGTCGTTATTCTGCTGTAGTGGAGGCTGTTGTTGTACATGCTGCTGTCTTTGTTAACGATCATTGTGTTATGGTTTGTCTTTCTTGCTGCCACTGCCGATGCGGCTTCTGCTCCTGCTCCCACCTCCCACCTCCCTCCTCCCTCCTCCTCCTCCTCGTCCTTGTCGTGGTGCGGTTTGCTCTTGGTGTTGCGTTGTTTGCTCTGTTAGTCTCTTATTCTTGTGTGTTTAGAGAGCTATCTATGACTATGTGTTTCATTGTTATCTGTGACAGTTGCCTTCTTCATGTGATATAGCGACATGCTTTGAAGCTGCGAGTACACAAAACGACCACAGCTTCGCTTCCATCTCCACCGGCAGCTCTTCTTCGGAAGCTGCTTTCCCGAGCTATAGGACAGGTCTGTAGGGCTCAGGCAGAACAGGGGTGTAGGGTTTAGTGGGTTCGGGCTATGATTTGAGAAACCAGGGTTTATGACACACGCCAGAAGTTCCCCTAAACCCCCACACCCCTAAACCNNCCCTAAACCCTAAACCGGCTTCAGGCTTGTGAATGGCAGCTACATCGACGGTGCAGATGGAGCCAATGTCTCCTGGTGCGTGACGACGCATACGCACCTCGCCAGCTGAAGTGATCTTAGTGCTTTCTGCCTGCGTGCCTATAGACACAAGCCCTAGACCCTTCAGTCCCAAAGCCTTAATCCCAACCCTAAACCTGAACCCTCAACC